GCAGCAGCAGCAGCAGCAGCAGCAGGGCCTTTAGAGAACAACACTCAGCAACTAAAACCCATGAAATAACGGTGCGTGAACAGGTGCCCGGCAGGAGCGCCCAGGGCCCGGCGACCAAGCGTGGGGAAAGCGTTTCCAGCAGATCTGGGGCGAGACGAGACTGAGTTCGGGGAAAGAGGGCAAAGGGAAACAGGGCAGCAGAGAAGAAATGTGAGGGCCGATCTTTATGAAAATGCACAGCCCACATAAATCACAGCTGCCCTGTAGGCTGGCATCCTCGTTCTGCACGGCGGCGGACAGCTGGTTAACCCCAGCGGCCTTGGAGCAGGCAGGGCTGTGCCATTCGCGGGGAGAGATGTAAAGGCGGTCCTCCCCCGCTACAGTCCGGGATGGGCTCGGCCGGATGTGACGCACCGCGACCCGGAAGCGCTGCGAGTCTGCGCAGTGCGGGACCGAGGCCGGGAGGGAGGTGTGCGTACGTGGTGGGTTGCGGCCCCTTTAGGCTGTCGTGGTGAGTGGTCTCTGCGCAGCGTGGGCAGCCGGCCGAGGCACCTGGTGGGCAGGAAGAGGCGTGGGGTGCAGGTCAGCCCCCGAGGGGCGCGCGGCACACGGTTAGGCTGAGGGCTGCTGGGCCGCCGGGCCGTAGCGGCTCCCCGCTCCCACGGGCCGAGGGAGGTTCCTGGGTCAGCGGCCCGCAGTGCCTGGCGCGCTTGCGGGGCGCTCGGCGTCCGGCACCGGCGGTTAGTGGCCCTTGGCCGTCGGCGTAGTCGCCGCGCAGCCGCGTAACACATCCCCGTTTTGGAGCTTGTGGTAAAGGCCGAAAATGATGCCGAGCTCCGTTCAGCTGCTCTTGTCTGCAGTGAGGACTGTGTGCGTAGTTTGTAGGGTCGACTTCAGTAAGGGAAATTTCCATCTTTCGATCATTTAAAAAAAAAAGTGTTTAACGTTGTTAACCTCCCCCGCCTTCGAATTTTTAGTAGTTAGTGGAATTTTAGAAAAAATCCCCTTCAGGGCTTGCGGAGTGGCTCCAATGGCAAGAGTGCCTGCCTAGCAAGCGTGAGACCCTGAGTTCAAACCCCAGTGCTGCCAAAGAAAAAAAATCCCCTTCAAAACTCTTGTAGGCACATTGTCGCAGTATATTTATATTTTTCCCCTTGAAATTCACTTGTTTTTCTATGAAACAGTATTTTAAGATAAAGATGAAGTACAAGACACCCCCCCCCGCCGCCATGCTTATGCCTTAGAAAATTTCTATGATCAGAAATTGGATTTTAAAAAGCATAGCAATGGGAAAGCAAAACAATACTAACACATGTTAGCAGCCTGTGTTTTTATCTCAAAAATAGCAGTTGAAACTCTATTTTGTAAACCAATAGTAACCTAGGATGCTTTTTTTCATATTTATTATGACTTCCCTAGGAGGTACTTAATTAAACTCTGCTTTAAAAGGTTTCTAAACTTAAAATTTTAGATATTATGGTATTGCAATGGAAACTTTTGAAATTTTTTTCTTTCTTTTTTTTAAAGTCTTTAAAAAAATACAACACAAAATGGGTTCAAAAAGAGCCCTGGTCATCCTGGCCCAAGGAGCAGAGGAAATGGAGTTGGTAATCCCTGTGGATATCATGAGGCGAGCTGGGGTAAGTCCCCGGTTGGTTCCCAGCCCTCCCTGTTTGAAAAATGTGGGGATTTTTAAGTCATTTTGAATAAAATGTTTAAAGTACTTGACAAACTATCTCAGATAATACAAAGCTATTTCTTTCAGACCCTTCCCCCTTTTTTTCTGAACTAGGGCCCTGAGCCATCCTCCTGCCTCAGCCTCTGTAGTAGCTGGGACTACTAGCATGGGCCAGCACCCCATGGGACCTCCTTCTTAAAGAGCAAATGCTTTAAAGAAATATACTTGAAATCCCTTTCGTAAATTTCCCCAGTCCAGTGCCCTTACCTCCTTCCCTAGACATAAACTGCTTTCCTCACATTGGTGTGTGTCGGCTTACTTTACACATTGTCATTCTATGTTTGAATGTAGCATATGTCCATATGTAATATAGTGAACCCTTTAGCACCACTAACTGCCAGCGTTCGTGCTAGCACTTAACACAGACCTCATAGCAAGTCTAAGTTAGATGCTGCCTCCCTCATTTTACAGCTCGTGAAACTGAGGCACAGACATGCTAAATAATGTGCCAAAGCCACAGAGTTTGTAAGTAGAAGAACCAGAACTCACCCTTGGGCATTCTGGTCCCAGAGTCTTTCTATACTTGGTTCTCAGACATGAAAATCCAGTTTATTCACTCAACTGTTTAGTACTGCACTGTATGAATGTGCCACAATCTACCCATTCTTCTACTTACACCCTTATATTACTTAATGTAATAAGCATTCTTTTTATAAGTTTCTTTGTGTAAATGTGTGGATTTTTTTTCAGGCTCTGTACCTAAAAGTGGAGTTGCTAGGTCCAAGGCCAGCCTGTAGTCGGTGTCACTAGATTGTGCCATGTTGCACTAGATTGTGCCATGTTGCTCTGCGATGTCCCAATCTGTAGTCCCTCTAGCAGCAGAGGAAAACTCCCATTTTTCTAGTACTATTGGAATTGTTGGCTTTTTCAGCCTTTGAAGGATGACGTCGTACTTTATTGTTTGAACTTGCATTTGCACCTTAGGAAAGTACCATGAGGTTTAAATGGCAACAGTAACCTTGCAAGATGGGTTATTAATAGGATGGTCATGTGTCTCCCAGACAAGAACACTTGTGGGAGAATGGGTGTTCTAGCCAGACAAGGGGCCAGAACAGCAGCTACAAATTGATTTGTCCCAGACGGACCAGAACAGACTTAGTTATTAAATGTATTTAGCCAGGGTGTTAGCTTAAATTCTGCATGGTTTGTTGTAGTATTTCCTGCCAAGTTATTTTAAAACTCAGGGTAGCTGTGAAAATGTTATTCTAAATTTATGTTTCACCGTTCTTAAATATCATGTCTTTCTCTTAGATCAAAGTCACTGTTGCAGGTTTGACTGGGAAAGACCCAGTACAGTGTAGCCGTGATGTTGTCATTTGTCCTGATGCTAGTCTTGAAGATGCAAAAAAACAGGTTTGTTCTCCATACATGGATTCTTCATTAGTTCATAAAATGTCTTTTGACTGTATCCACGACTAAGGTTAGAGCAGACTTATTCTGAGAAAATTGTTTTGCTTGGAAGTCTTCCCTCCTGAACTGGGAAGGCAAGACTTCACCTTTCTACTCCATGATAGTAGAACTTGGCAATTCTCCTGGACACTGAATTTGCTCAGTAAGTGTGGGTGGGTGCACGGGTTGGTGCATGGTGGGGAGAGGGTAAGAGGCTAGATGTGAGCATTGTTCTGTCATTGGAATTCTTCTGGTCTACAAAGGCATCCTTGTACCATGATAATGTTTTTTCCTGATATAAGAGAATCAACTGCCACATTCCCATTTTTTCTCACTTCTTTTTTTTACCTTTTCTTTATAGTGACAGAGATGTAGTTGTATGATTCATTTTACACCAAACATTAAGGGAGTGGTAAGAGTTCTACTTAAATTGTGTCACTTTTTCAATAGCTTTAGAATGATGGTCCTTATGTCTCTGAGTGCTGGACACTTCTGGTTATCTTTGAGAAAGCTGGAATCCCTTTGTCAGAAATATGCCCACCCACTCACCCTAATGCACACCCTGTAATGGGTCAGATATCACAGGCCAAGGTGATATCTGACTGTGCCTTCCTGGAGCAGAGACGTGGCAGGAAGGGAGGCAAAGGCAGGTCACGAATGGCTGTTTGTGCCCTACCAGAACCCAGAGGCAGATTCTTCATGCTGAGTTGTGCTCACATGCACAGAAAGAAGTGTGTTCCCTTCCAATTAAAGATTTCATTCTAGATTGCGGAGAATTTGAATATTGGTATTTACGCATCAATTTTTGGGGAGAGAGGTGCCGGGGTTTGAACTCAAGGCTTCACACTTGGTAGGCAGGCACTCTACTGCTTCAGCCACACTTCCAGCCCTTTCTGCTCTGGTTATTTTGGAGATAGGGTCTTGCTTTTTGCCCAGGCCTGCCTGGATCTCAGTCCTTCTGTTTATGCTTCCTATCGCAGTTAGGATGACAAACACTCGCCACTGTGCCCAGCCATTGATTGAGATGGGGTCTTGTTAACCCTTTGCCTGGGCTGGCCTCAAACTATGATCTGCCTGATGTCAGCATCCCAAGTAGCTAAGATTACAGGCATGAGCCACTGGTGTCTGGCTGGTATTTACATATAAATTATTGAAGTTTCTAAATGATATGTTAAAAGGAAGAATATTTCTTTTTTTTCCCCTCAAATACTGGAGATTGAACCTAGGGTTCATGCTAGGCAAGTCTCTACCCCTTGAGCCAAGCCCCCAGCCCCTTTTTGTTTTGTTTGTTGTTGTTTCGATGGGACTGAGGTTTGAACTCAGGGATTTACCCTCATGAGGCAGATGCTGCACTGCTTGAGCCACACCTTCGGTCCATTTTGCTCTGGTTATTTTGGAGATGGAGGGGGTCTCACGAACTATTTGCTGGGGCTGGTCTCGAACTTTGATCTTTCAGATCTCAGCCTCCCAGGTAGCTAGGATTAGCTCACAGGCGTGAGCTGCTGGTACCTGGCCCTTTTGTTTTTACTTTGTTTTTGAGACAGGGTCTTTTAACTTTTGCTGGACTGGGCTGGCCTCCAGCTCCCAAGCAGCTGGGATTATAGGCTGTGTTGCCACATCTGGTTTCCATTGTTCTCTTTTTGTCCTGTGATGTCTCGGTATTTTAGATCAGTGGTTTCCTTTTGCATATGTTTATTGTTCATCCAGTTCTAAAAGGAGTGAGAGAGTGGTGGTGTGGTAGAGCTTGCCTAGCATGTGCGAGGCCCTGAGATGTAGCACTGCAAAAATAAATGCACTGAAAGAAATTCTAGACTTCACATATTTTCTGTTTAGTTTTGAGTTTTGCATGATTTTAAACAGATGTTTATGATCTTAGAGTAATTTTATTTTTAATGAAAAAAGACATTCTAAAAAGTAGAGAACCAAACATATACTAAGTTTTATTGAAGACATTTTTAACATCTTAAGTGTTAAGACAGTTGTCATTTTATAATGTCAGCAAGCTTGAGATTAGTTAGATTTCTAGGATGTTTGAGATGCTAAAATATCGTGTCATTTTATTCTCCCTCATCATTTTTCATGAAGTTAAAAATATTTCTCTATGCCTTTTACTCTGCATTTGATCTTTGTCTCTGAGTATCTGTACATACACGTGTGTGATGTTTATTACACATACTTATATACATCTCCACACATACACTATTCATGTGTGAGATGGGATCTTGATATGTTGCCCATACCTGAGGCACCAAGCTTGACATATTTTTGTCTTTTTACAAGAGTTCAGTTGTACTGTACCGATGACTGTGTTTTGAATGTCCTTCATGTTACTATACCCAGATTTTCTGCATTTTTTGCTAGTTACAACACTAGAATCTATCATAGAGACACACCTTAATTTATTTAGCTATTCTTTTTTTGTATTTGCTTTTGTGCTGGGGTCAAACACAGGGCCTCGTGCATGCTAAGCCCTCACTCTGCCACTGAGCTGCATCCCCAGCCCTTAATTGTGCTTTTGACAGATAAGCAGATTTTTTCCTGTATTTTGTGTCCTACATTAAAAATATGAGTGTTATTGGACTGTCACTTTAACACAAGTTTGAAATGAAATATTCTTTTTCTTTTTGAAATTGTCACAGGGGCCATATGATGCAGTTGTTCTACCTGGAGGTAACCTGGGGGCGAAGAATTTATGTGAGGTAAAAACTACTCAGACCTCAGTATAGCGTGGGGGAGTGTAACATAAGGATTTCGGCCTCTGCTTGTTCTGTTGACTTCATTATTCAGATAGTTCAAGGATGCTGTGAATAAAAGAGAAATAACTAAAATTAACCAAATGGTATTCCAATCTTACTTAAAAACAGTTCTGACAGCATTTACTATAGAAATAAGCTGATGTGGCGCACGACTGTTATGAACAGTCCAGTGGACACAGTCCAAAGTGTGACTATTCATTTTTCCCCACCAGCAGAATGGTAGATTTCTGAGTAAACCTCGAAAGAGAAGAGACCTGCTGCTACTCAGCAATCAGGGTTGTGGCAGGCTTCGGGGCTGAAGATGCCACTGTGAACGAAAATCAAGAGGCAGTAGTCTACCTCTGGGTAGTTAGTCTTCATGGGAGAGTCACCTTGTTAAAAGAGAGAGGCGAGTTGGCAGGAGCAGGGCCAGCAGGCGGTGTTTTCCGCTCTACCATCTGCAGACACCCAGACTCCACATTCCTGCACCTCTCTTCCTCCCTGAAACTCAGAATGGCAGGTCCAGTGCTCAGGGGAAATTACTTTTTTTCTTCCTGTCTTTGGGATGCCTTTTAGGATAAATGCCTGAACTGGGCTTAAGAATATAGACTCATTATGAGCATGGTCACTTTTATATTGATGATTTACAGGTAGTTTTGAGAAATAGAAGGTCTTGTGGTTTAAGCTAAACTAGATTCTACCAGTTTCCTAGCAAGAGACTAGGTTGTGTCTTGATGCTAACTGTGTGTTTGGTTTTCCCTGATTAGTCAAAGGCTGTGAAAGAGATCCTGAAGGAGCAGGAGAGCAGGAAGGGGCTCATCGCCGCCATCTGTGCAGGTGAGGTTCTGCCGTGGCTGGGCAGAGCACAGCGCAGACTGGTCTAGCCAGGGCTACAACGGGCTCCTCACAGTTCTTGGTGTGAGGCATTTGTTCTTGGTGTGTTTAGCTTGGGCAGTATGAAGAGATGTCATTTCAGCACTGAGCCCGATTGCTCCGCCTCCTGCCTCTGTACCTTTGGTCTCCACTCTGTGAAACTTACTGTTTTCTGTATTTGGTTCCTCAGAGGGAAATGAGGCCCTCTGGAATTCAGTAAACAGCTTAGTACAGCAGAACTCTGAGCCAGAATGTATTTCTGCCAGTACACAGTCAGCAGGAATCTGCCCGACACAAACACAACAGCCCTGCCCTGTGCTCACCCTGTAGACCTCAAAACCTGGTCCACTGGCTTCGGTGCTTTAAGGGTCTGGACCCTTATTATCTGTCACATAACTTAAAATAAGGTTCTTTGGCGCTTCATGGATGTCCCCACATCTTTCAAACTTGGTAACATTTTGTTTTCTGGTCTCTTGTTGCTTTAGTATTTAGTTGTCACAGTATAACTTTTGTTGGTGCCATGAGAGTGAGTGAATGAGCTTGATAGAATGTCATGCTGACATTCGGCTCATTGCTTCTTTAAAAGGAGTGCGGGGCCTAGGACACCAGGGTCTCTGCATCTGAGCAGCAGTGCTCAAAGTTAGGGTTTGGAAAGTCAAAGCACACACTGCTGGTATGGTGTGTTCCTGTTTCCTTCTGGTCCTCACAGGAGTGATATCAGAGTGTCACTCCGATGTGAAGCCACATTCAGGCAGGGCATTGTGCTTGTGCATTTTAAATATTTCTCAGTTTTGAGCCAGAGTGTTGGCATACACCTGTTATCCCAGTATTTGGAAGGCCAAGGCAGGAGGATCAAGAATTTGAGGCAAGCCTGAGTACATAATGAAACCTTGTCTCAAAAAAAAAAGAAAAGAAAAGAAAAAGGAAAAATAGTTTTCTGGTTTTGGAGGTGACAGTGCAGCTCAGTGGTAGAGCACAGGCACATCCTTAGCATCCATGAGGCCCTGGGTTCCGTCCTCCATTTTTAATCTCTAATGTGTCAGGTAGTGCTGGATGTACCCACATAAAAGCCACAGAGACCCCAAGATCTACATGCTTGAACTTGGGAACTATTCTCTTAGAGACCAGGAGGAGATGCCTGGCCTTGCTCTTGTCTCTGCTACGGGGTCCTCCAGGGATGGGGGAGGGTCCTGTTAGGCTCAGCGTCTTTGCTGCTGCTGGGAGACCAGCCTCGTTCTCAGGCTGTCTCAGCCTTCGACCAAAGGCTTTGCCTAGATCTGTTCCCTTGTGACTGCTGAAAGTACAAAGTGCATGTGAGTTGGTCTTTCGGTGTCACTGAGGTAGAAAATTACCAGGTCTATTGGCTCACTGTCTTGTGTTCAGACAAGCTTGAATGCCACACCACAGTTGAGGCCCTTACTGTGATTTGTGATTTCTTTCACCGTTAACTGAGTAGCAGGAGCAGTTGCAGGTATCCTGAGAGCGTCCTGTGCCATGGGCCTGTGTACCCAGGGGACCCGGAGAAGGGGGATCAGGAGCCCAGTACAGTGCGGTGACTGGTGTGGGGTGCAGGCGATGAACCGAGCAGGGGCAGAAGACATTCTAATGTTTCAGTCAGCAGAAAAATATGCTGAGTCCTCGCAAAGGCTGCCCTTAGAAACTGGGAACTGGTTTTGAACTGAAGAAATGTTCCTGACATTGAGTTGGAAGAGAAAGACAGAAACCAAAAGGGAGGCTTTCTTGAGAGGCAAATGAAATGAGCTTGGAGAGGAGGAGAGAGAAAGAAGGAAGCTTGAGGGTGGAGGAGTCTTGGTTGTCAGATGCTGGGTCTCCAGAGACCTGGGTCGCCTGGAGGAGCCTGGGAATTGGCAGGGGTGGTGTTTTTGTAAGCCTCCACGAGGTGGCGCTGTGGAAGAGGATTCTGCCAATTCTGCTCTCAGCTCCTCATCCATCAGAACCTCAAGTAATAGAATACTAAATATTTCTTGTCTAATTTTCCAAACTGTTTTAAGCCCCAGAAAGCATCAGTTGTGAGCTTAACACAACTAGTAAGGCAGCAGTAAATCCCTCATCCATCCGGTCCATACGTTTTCAACACTGCTGCAGGCAGCCATCTTGCAGGGAGCATTCTGGAAGCCCCTGCCTCGCTGTGACCACTGTCCTCATGGAGATCATCTACTGGAGTCTACTGTCAAGTAGAAGAGACTATAGGGTTTCCTAGAGCTTGAGATCTTACCAAGTGAGCATTAGGTAACTCGGGAATCTTCACGTACGTCGAGTGGCGATCGTTCAGTTCTTCCAGACTTCTGACATTCGCTTCCATCCATAGCTGTCTGGTATGAAGAGCAGAAGTAAGATGGAGAGGGATGTATGTTTGAGGCTTTGGATTTAAGAGGCAAATCAGGACTTGGTCTGAAAACTGACACTTGATATGAGGCAGAAGGCTTATGTAATTAGGTATCTTTGTTCGGTCTTCCTGTTTGTGGCAGCTGTGATCTAAGCATCCTGGAGGAATATATCTCTTCTTTTCAAGGACTCGTGAAAGGCGAAAGTTCAGTGAGACCACATCAGGTTTGTTGAAGCTGAAAATGCACAGACTATAAGCGCTGAGAAGGTCAAGGTGCTATTTTAGTCTGGGTGTAACTTGGGGCCTCAGAAAGAACTCTGCGTGTGGCTTAGGGAAAAGGGTACAGTGAAAGCTTTCTTTTAACTTCTTTGGTGACAATGAAAAGTATAAAGCTTTTTCTACTACAGTCTTTATTTGAGGACCTTTCCATACAGTTTATGCGGGGATTATCACTAAATTTGCACTAGATAGGCATCTCTGGCTAGTTCCTACATATTTTCAAAGCCTTCCTCTTGAGAGGCCAGGTGTTGGGTATCATGAGCTGACATTTCTGTGTCGTTCTTTGCAGAAATAGCTGCAACTCGGGGGCCTTTGTATCTCAGATTTAAGCGCAGGTATCACCTTCGGGGAGGGCACTGTGGTGTAGATCTTCCAAATCCCACCCGGAGTGTTAACTTTCCATTCTTCACTTTCCAGTCAAAGAATAAAATTGTGCAACAGCTCCAAAGTCCAGAAGTTCAGAGGTTATGGTTGCCAGTGACCTGTATAAATTTTTGTTTCGCTAAGAGTGAGGCAAGAAGTCTACCCCAGAGTGGTATGCCCACTTCCTACTCTTGTTCCTTAGGGGGCACATCCTGTGTATCCCCATGCTCTGTGCGGGTCCAGATCAGTTTTAAGGAACCCAACAAATGCTTTGTTAGAAACATACTACCTCTCCTACTGAGAAGGGTTTAATTGCACAACCATAACCCTATTTTAAATAAGAACATTTTGGTTTTGAAGAACACTTTTGCTGTTGCAGTTTTTAAAATACGGTTCTTTTCTGTAACTGCAATTAGATTTTTTTTTCATATTTTAGTTGTATAGGGGGTATATTGTGACCTTAACATAGTGCTTACAGTATATCTTAATTAGATTCACCAACTCAAGATCTTTTTTATTAATTTTATTTTTAGGTCCTACGGCTCTGTTGGCTCATGAAATAGGTTTTGGAAGCAAAGTTACATCACACCCACTTGCTAAAGAAAACATGATGAATGGGAGTAAGTATATGTTTATATTTTCTTGTTTGTTTGTTTGTTTTTGAGACATAGCCTCACTGTGTAACCCAGGCTGACCTTGAATTCATGATTCTTTGCCTCAGCCCCCTGAATGCTGGGATTACGTGTATGCATTACCATGCCTGGCTCTGCTTAGATTTTCATGTGAAAAAGACCGCAGAAAACAGCACTGTTCTCCAGCCAGTGTAATGTAGCAGCAAACTTTATTCTTTCCACAGCAGTTTGAGGTTCGCAGCAGAATTGAGCGGGAAATGCAGAGTTTCTCATGCAAAGCCTTTCAACTGCCAGCTCCCTATACCAGAGTGACACCCTCACTGTGTCAGTGAGCCCCTCGACACCTCCAAGACCCTCGTTTCCTTTAGAGTTCACTCATAGTGGTGTATATTCTGCAGGTTCCTATGTTTGACTGAAAGTACTATTTTACTTCCGTAAAAACCTATCACTTTATTTTGGTTGTTAGATAGTAGGTTGTCAGTAAAACTGTGAAAATTGGCACTTTTTAAAAGCTCTGGCTTCTGGAATTTTAAGTATTGGAGCTGACTTTCCACTGAGCTAGCAGAGTGGTTCTAGAGGAGTGGCGAGAACTGAAGTTAGCTGCGTGGTGGCTCCTTTGCATCCAGGAGGAGACATGGAGAGCCAGGCTTGCACCCCCACACCTCTTGCCTGCGTCAGAAACAGGTTGAGTTGGAGTTGAAGAGCAAATTGTGAGACTCACCACCTAGAGTTTACAGAGTGTGGACCCAGTGCCTGGTCCTCACACTGTTCAGATAAGGAAACTGAGGCTTGGAGGCCAGGAAGCTAGGCTAGAGCCCTGCCCAAACCTTGTCTTTGGTCTGGTTTTGCCTTGCTGCTCTCCCCTCCCCTTAGAGCAGCAAGGCTCCTACACACATGTGAATTACACTGAAGGCAGTAAGTGCTGTTATAAAAAAAAGCAGTACGTGACATTTTTGCAGAGCATTCTGGGAGGTGTGTTTTAGTCATCACCAGGATCTCTGCTCTAGGTGAGGCCTTCCTGCTTGGCCTCATCATGCACTTGATAAATCAGTCTGGAATTTTCCCTCAGATAAGCAATCCAATCCAAGGAGCAAAGGCTTCTCACCTCCCAGTTTCTGAACAAATAAGTTTTATACCGTAAATGTTCCAGTTTCATCCCCATCTCTGTGTGGGCATCTGAATGCCAGGGCAAATGCTGGCAGGTGCTCACTGCAGGACTGTGGGCAGTTTCCTTACTGTCTGCCTTCAGTACCTTGTCTTGTCACACGAGGGTTGCAGCAGCCCCTGCCTAGGATCTTTGATGGGCTCAGTGAGTCATTGTGTAATGTGCCAGGACACTAGTTGACCTGAGCCTCAGCTCTTGTCATTGTTCCTGCTACTTCTCAGGCCTAGTGCTGTGTGCCAGGCACAGTGAACAGGACACAGCAGTGTACAGGCTGCCTTGCCTGGCCACCGACTATAGACCTTACTGTGCTCTTCAACCTGTTTTGTTGACTTTGTTCCCATATTACAGAAGATTTGAAGAGTGAGGCTCATGGAGGTCAGTCACACGGCTACAAGAATTTGAACCTGGGCTTTTTCTTGGAGGGCCAGGTAGCAAGTGTTGGAGCTGTATTGTTGCAGCTGCAAAGTAGCTACAAACAATAGGGAAAGAATAGGTATGGCCTTGTGCCAATGAAATGATTTATAAAAAGTAGGCAGTAGCAGAACCTCTGATCCCAGCCCTCAGGAGGCAGGAGCAGGATTATGAGGTAGTCGAGGCCACCCTGGGCTATGTAGTGAGGCCCTGTCTCGGAAAACAAAACAAAAATTAAAAAAAAAAACAGCCAGCAACCTTTGGTTGCTGGCCCTGTGGTGCTGAGCCTCTCCTCTCCCCTTTTTTCTAGAGAGACTTCTGGCTTTTAGATTTTTGCCTAAAGCTTTAAAAAAAAAATGTTTTGAACATTGAGATATGAAATATGTAAATTTATGCTAAATTCACAAATCCTAGCCTGCAGGTTTTCAATTGCCCACCCCCCTGCGTTGCTGTTCTAGTCATTGCCAGTAGGTGGGGTCACTGACAACAGTAAAGCTGGTGCTTTTCCTCATTGAGATTTGGAAAAGAGCTGAAAAACCTTGAAACCTATTGAGCCAGTTTCAGCCCTGTCTGAACCACAGTTGTGCTTCCCATGGTCCCAGTCCAGGCCACTCACCTCTGAGCTCTGGAAGGCCTGCCCAGACAGTTTTCTAGGTTAGCATTGAAAATGATCTTGGCCGGCCTCAGCCATCAGTAAGTGTGGTTTGAATTATGAAACCTTTTCTCTTCAAATGAGGGACCGTGTTTTCTCTATAGTAACGAAAGAGGAAGTTTCTCGTGTATGCTGGTTGTTTCTGTGGGTGACTTAATTTTTAATGAGCGAGTAAGACAGCAACTCCTGTAGGAACCTGTTCACGTGTGATTTCTAAAGCTCACTGGTGTGGCGGAAGCCCGTAGCTCTTTTTAAGGGGTTGCTAGCTAGATCTGTGTGTTAAAGAAGCACCTCCCAGGCTGAGGTCGTGGCTCAGGTGGAAGAGCGCCTGCCAAGGACATGATCGAACCCCAGAACCACAAAACACAAAACAGCATCTCCCGTGCTCCCTTCTCATGCCGGGTACCAGGAACAGAAGCAGGAGCCAGGTGAAGCTGCACCCAGCATCTTGACAGGTGGCATGGGTGAGGCCAGGGACAGGGGTCAGAGCATGCTGCCTGCATGTGAAGGTCCTCTTCCCTCACTGGCTGCCCTTGTGTCTGCATGTCACTGAGTAGGGTCCCTGTCATGCAGTGCAGACAGCTGGATTGTCCTTAGCACCTCCCCGTGTCTAGCTGCTTCACTAAGACCTGGGCATGGTGTCTTGCAGATCCATCTCACACTTTCATCCCTCCACACATCTCCACTGTCCCCTGCCTTGTCAGGCCACCAGCTCTCACTGGACACAGGTTCTTTCCCTCGAAATCTAGGATCTGTAGGGAGGCGCCAGACTCCTGTGGACTTTAGGAGCTGAAAAACGGAGTTCGGGGTCTCCTGTCAGTGCTGAAGCCAGGGCTCCCTGTGGGCGGGTTGCTGGCTTTGCTGAACAAAGCTCTGGACAGTGGCCTTTTGGATCCTGAGCAGGGGTGGGGGTACAGAACTGGCGCAGGGGATGGGGGCTGTTGCAGTGCAGAGAGCAGTACCTCACTTGTGGATGGAGGAAGGGGAGACTGAGTCAAGGGACAGTCACTTCCTTGCCTACTATGACACTGGTGCTTCATGGGTGCCAGCAGTGCTCTGGTGACAGGGACGGGGAAGGCTTTGAAGAGCAGCCTCAGTGTTTGTGGAAACACAGAACAGCCTAAGTGCTGGGAGGGAATGAGGAGATGCTCAGCCAGGCTCAGGACTGAGGGAGCAGCTCTGGCAGCTCTGCCATTGGCTCTGCAGGCAGTGTGGGGAGATCTGCTGGCTGCCTGGCCTGAGCAGTGGGCAGAGCGCAGGGAGCCCTTGCGGAGGAACCCAGTGTTGCCCTAGTTGCCAAAAGGTAGCCAGTTGGGGCAGGGAGTGTTGAGTGGCTTCTGTCTCCCCAGCATGGAGACACTGCCCTCATCTAGTGATTAGCTGGTTTCTGCTTTTTGTCTGCTTCCCTGCTCCAGCACCACAAGCCTGACGCTGAGCGGGTGTTGTGCGGTAGGAAAGGGAAGGGTCAGCCTCCACTCGGCACCTCCCAGCGCCATCTGCGTGGCCTCGGCACTGGGCTTGTGTGTGACTCTTGGTTCACAGTGCTCCTTGGCACAGTGGCTTTAACATCTCCTTGTGCCTGTGGTGGCTCGCTGGACCTACCACAAGGCTTTGAGTGGCTGGCTGTAGCACTGGTGTTTGTTTTTCTGTTTATCTGAGACCTGCGGTGTACTGTGACAGTGAGCTGAGCCTGTGTGACAGACACGAACTGTTCTGTTCCTACCCTGCAGGTCATTACAGCTATTCAGAGAGCCGTGTGGAAAAGGATGGTCACATCCTCACCAGCCGTGGGCCGGGGACCTCCTTTGAGTTTGCTCTGGCCATTGTGGAGGAACTCAGTGGCAAGGAGGTGGCCGACCAAACGAAGGCGCCACTTGTCCTTAAAGACTAGAGCAGAAGCCCTGGCCTGAGAAGAGAAGGGGCCCAGGCACCCGTTCCTGCCTCCAGCCAGCCAAGTGGGAAACCATGGCCTCTCTGAAACATCTGTAGCTGTGAAGTGGTCCACACAGGGCCCCCATCTGCAAGTGTCTGTCCATTTCTGAACCCTGTTTGCAGAATAAACAGGGCGTTTAGCAAGCCACTGATGGCTTCACCTCATCATTTGTCTGCAGTTCTTTTGCAAAACCAAACTCATAATCAGCATCCTTTGCGGCCCAGAACTGTTGCTGCCCACTGGCCTTTTGGATCCTGAGCAGGGGTGGGGGTGCAGAACTGGGGTGGGGGGAGACTGTTGCAGTGCA